AGCCAAGAAGAACACCAAAATTATTTTCAGTTGTGTGGGTTCAAAAAGGGGACTTGTTTTGGGACCACTCTGGGTGCTGCTTCGCGACATGTCAGTGCGGACAGGGTTGAGCCAAACAACGGTTTATGCAAAAGAAGAAGCAGCAAACTAAATTCCCAAATGTGTTCACTCACCGCGGACAAATAGCGTTTCACACAAACAAACTACGAATGACATCGAATTGATGGTGTCACATGTGGACTCAATACCGGCATGCATGGCTGAGTCGAAAAACGTTTCACTCGAACTTATCAACATGATTCTTCGTTTGTGTGGGTTCGATGAGTCAAATACCGCATCACTCAACTCAAGCAAAAGGTAGGTGACCTCGCAAGTGATCAAGTAGTAGATTTCAAGCCCTTTGAAGCCAAACCCTCAGGAGTCCTTTAAGGAGGAGGTGGAGCTGTTGAGGGAGCAGCTTCAAGAGTCATCAGTAACCATCGAGGGCGAGTATGCTTCCCGCGCTACCATGCAGTCTTGGGGTTGGACTAAGAGTCTTGGCGTTGAAGCTGTGTCCTTTTACTCTGCTAATTACCCAGCAGACTTCGCAAAGGCCAACCGATTGAAGCGTCCTCCAGTTGTTTTCGGGTGGACGTATTGTTTTTTGCCTTGGGAACCCTCCGTGTCCTTCTACTCTGCGAATTACCCAGCGGTCTTTGCAAACGTCCTCCAGTTGTTTTCGGGTGGACGTATCGTTTTTTGCCTTGGGAACCCTCCGTGTCCTTCTACTCTGCGAATTACCCAGCGGTCTTTGCAAACGTCCTCCAGTTGTTTTCGGGTGGACGTATCGTTTTTTGCCTTGGGAACCCTCCGTGTCCTTCTACTCTGCGAATTACCCAGCGGTCTTTGCAAACGTCCTCCGGTTGTTTTCGGGTGGACGTATCGTTTTTTGCCTTGGGAACCCTCCGTGTCCTTCTACTCTGCGAATTACCCAGCGGTCTTTGCAAACGTCCTCCAGTTGTTTTCGGGTGGACGTATCGTTTTTTTGCCTTGGGGAACCCTCCCTCCTCCCAGGACCCGCATCGATGCGGTGGTGGCCCACTGCAAAACTGACCCTGGACGTTTGATGAGGCCAGTTGTAGCCCTGAACCCGGCCGATTTCGCGCCTGAGCTGACCTGGCCAGGCAAGATCGATATGAACAGATAACCCTCTTCTGGGCGGAGACGGCAGTGAAGGGCAAGACCAAGCTCCCTGGCCTAATTATTAGGAGCCTTTTGGTGGAGAATTCCAACCCGGTGGATTTTCAGAATTAGGCCCATGGTCGCGGAAAAGACTCTTTGGTTTCGAAGTGGAAGACTTTGTGAGAAGAGCAACGCAAGAAAGGCAAACGCATGTGCTTGCAAGTTCACCAAGTGTTTTGCTTATTTTGGGTTCCTGTTTGTTTTTTAAGGGCGACCCAAATTTTAGGCTTGTCAAACAGGGAGGTCCCATATTTACCTTGACGTTATGACATGTACCATCAAAAGAGGGGGGTTGCTGTTTTGTGTGCAGACTGCCAACGCAAAAAAACTTGTTAGGCTTATCTGTTCTGATGACGAGCTAGCCACGGGGGCTATGGCACGGTGTGTTTGACACGGAATGCCTTGATCGTTCAAAACAAAAAGGGCACCTACTGAAATGAAGGCAAGAGTGTTTGTAAGGCTGACTGCCCTGGTTCTCAAAGAAAACATTGGCCTGCAGAATTGTAGACAATGGCAAACGGTGCTTGACGTGTTTGGGGAACCTGGTCAAACTGCCTTTTGCTGTTTTTACTGTGCCCTGGAACCTCAGGCACAGCAACAAGATCAGTCTCCAGCGTCGGCTTCAATGGCAGGAGCAAGGTGCAAGCGGCAGCCTTGCCATGCCGGATGTTCCCTCGCTCACCTCAGCCTTTCCCAAGCCAGAGCCAAAGACCTCAAAGCGAGCCTTCGACATGATTAAGCTGGTCCCTAGGGGCTTGGATTGCGATTGAAACATCTTAAAGCAATCGCCTCTTCCACAAACTGGCCGGAATAGCTGGTCATGCCTTTCACAACTTCACCAACTTAAGCAAAAACCCGGGTGGAGTGTTTAAGGTAGTTTGTGAAAGCCCCTCCCAACATTTCAGGTAAGCCTGGCGAACCTGATGAAGATGACGAAGTTGAGGAAGCCGAGGATATTGTGGACCTGGAGGCGGAGGAAGAATCCCGCAAAAGCCAACGCAAGAATGCCGGCTTGCCGGAGCTAGAAGACGATGCCTTGCCATCTTCCCAAGCCCCCAAGCTTCTGTTTCATAGCTGCAAGTAGGTTTCTCGCTGTATCTCATCAAGCGCCCAATGTGCCCCTCCCTTTAACCCAACAAGGAGCTGCTTGAACAAGCGGGTGAAGCGATTGCAAGACATCAAGGAGAAATTCAACGCACCAGACCTGGGAGAGCTTCAACAGAAGAAATTCGTTTGCAATTGAGGTTTGCAAGAAGTTACAGTAACACTTGGTTGCAACAGTGTGTTGCTTTCACATGCTGAGGATTGTTGACAAGGTGGCAAGCTTGATGTTGGACCTGAACGACAAAGTCGATCAGATTTCTCAGATCTATGGGGATGGTGTTGTGGATGGACTCTCCAAAAAGCAACTTGGAAGGTAAAGCAAAAAGGTAAGGAGTTTTTTAAGTTCGATTTTGTAGCCCGGCCAACAATCCCAGGCAAGAATCGCATCCCCAGAGCCTCTACCAAGATGCGCAGAAAGTGCACCATCCTCGGACGTTCGAATTGATTGGCAATTGGTGTGTGGTTTGCCTATCGGCCAGGGCAATTCAGGCCTTGGGGATTGAGGATAGGGCAAGGCTGGACACTAGTTCATGCACAGTCATCCATTATGGTGTGCCTGCTTCTTTCAGCAGGAATTTCTACCCGAAAGTGAAGAAGACGCCTGCCGAAAAGAAGGAACGCACTTCTGCCAAAGGGGCTAAAGCGAGGGCTAAGCCCAAGGCAAAGTCCAAGGCAAAGATTGAGAAGCCAGCTTCACCACCCGCTAAGAAGGGCAGGTGATGATTTTCAATGCAATCTGCAAAGGGGATTTTGCAAGCGACATACGGGGTAGAGACTGGCCTGGATTGTTTTTGAACAATAGGGTTCAGCAATGACAGTCGCTACCGTTGAGCCTTGTTTAACCATTGTTACGCATCAGCTACCCCGCTTGCCAAACTTGCTGATGAGACTTAGTAATTCCTGAATCGTTGCGATGCTTATGCAGCACGTGCGCATGGGGCAAAATAACGCTGCACGCAGAATCGAACCATCAACAGTTCAGGCTGGCTTTTTTGGTTTTGCGATTCAACGTGCCAGGGCAACAGCCACGCGCTGGCGCTGGTGGTTCTCGATGCGAAGCAGCTGCCGAAGCATTAGCTGATGGGGCCACCCGCTCGCACGTTGGTTGATTTCAAGAACTTAGTTAGCTGCAACACGTCAGCGCAACTTCTAAAATTGCCCCTTCCAACGAAAACGAAGCCTGAACAATGCCAACGCTGGGTTAAGTTCGATTTGGAAGCTCCCCCGCAGCAAGCGCGCAGCGGCAAAGTACAGTCTTCGCTGCGCCTGAGGTTCCCGCCAACACAGTGGCCAACCTGGCCCACGATCTGCAGCAAGAGCTGGGCAAGTCAGGCCTCAAGCGGCCGTTCTCTCACCCGTCCCGCTCACTGCACAGGATGGTGGAGAGAGCCGGGCTGCGTTGGAAAGTGCCTATAAGCTATCACCAGTTTCACAAGGGAGATGGTGAAATACTCCCATTGCCATACCTTGCCCCGAAGGATTTAGTTCAGCACTTGCTCGAGCACTGCCCGGAAGTGTTTTGGGGAGGCCTTCGTGATCCTCAAGAAGCAGCAAAATCGTTAAAATCATTTTGGATGGCGTACAAGCAACAACACCCTGAACATGTGGTATTTCAGCAAGCTGATGGTGAAAGCAGCCTTGAGTATTCTATCCCAGTTGCAGTGTACGGGGACGAAGGGAGAGGAGTCCGTCGTGGCCAAACTGCGCTCTTTGCCCTGGAGGCCATTCTTGGATTCCACAGCGCGAAGAACATGAGGGAGGGCAAGAACTCTTGCTTCTGTCAAAGCTGCGAAGTTTCTGAACCGATCCGGAAACGGTTTTGCAATTCTCTCCGAGAAGCCCCAGAACATTCAGAAGCCTTTGCTTTTCAGACAACATGCAACACAGAGCACAGCTTTCTGAGTCGCTTCTGTTTGTGGCTTTTGCCGTGCTCGATCTACAAACCTTATCCCTTAGCGCTTGATGAACTTCTGACAGTAGTGGCGCAAGGTTTGCGGGAGTTGTTCTATGAGGGAGTCCTTGCTCATGGACGATGTTGGACAATAACACTTATCGGATCCAAAGGTGACATGCGTTGGTTCGACCGCATCGCTTATCTCAACCGAACCTGGTCAACAAAGGGGAGAAAACGGGATTTAGGGATGTGCGCAGAGTGCCACGCGGGCTTGCCTGGCATGCCCTACGAGGATGTTTCAGAACACCCTAGCTGGGAGACAACCTGTTTCGCCTCACGCCCGTGGAGTGAAGAGTGGGTTGAACCTCCCTTGAGCAGGGTTCCCTTTGAAAGTGGGGACTCAGCCCGTCCAGAAATGCTGTATCGCAGGGACGTCTTTCACATTGGAAAACAAGGGGTCCTTAGACACTTTACCGCAAGTGTTCTGGTAACCTTATTTAGCTTGGGCTACTTCAGCGTGGGAGCAGGGGATGGGCAGGCAGCCGACGTCAAACTTCTTCGAGCCCATGGGCATTTTAGCTTGTGGTGCACCGCAGTTGGCAAGAACCCTTCGCTGAGGTCATTCAGCAAAAGCCTTTTAAATTGGAAATCGTGGAAACACTTTCCGTGGTTCAACGTGAAGGGGTCGGACGCAACACTGCTTTTACGCTGGATGTACACCCTCCTCACTGAGCTCATCATGACTGCGGAAAGGCCTGCCAACCATGGGCTCTTGTCAACCATGCGTGCAACAGCGCAAGCGGGCGATGATTTCTACAGGCTCATGTATGCGCACAACCTTTGGTTAGCCCCGAAGTGTGCAGCCCAGCTTGTTCAGTACAGCACTGCGTTTTTGAATGGCTACGTGCTTCTGGCCCAGCATGCCTTTGACCAACGCCTTACAACCTTCGCGATGGTTCCGAAAATCCATGCGTATAGACACCTGATCCTAGACTTGGAGAGAGCCTTAGAAGCGCAACACACCGCCGTCATCAATCCGTTGGCCTGGAACAATGAGCTAGGAGAGGATCTGGTGGGCCGGGTGTGCAGGCTTGCTCGCCGAGTGGATGTGCGATTGCAAATGCGGAGGACCCTTATTCTGTTTCTTGTCAAGGCCAGAGCCGTGCATTTGCGCGCCAGAGCGAGGCTATGCAAGTAAAAACCGGGCGCCCGGGCGCCAGGCTCCCATCGCGGCCAGGCGTTTTGACCTACACAGGTCCTGGTATGTTTGATGAATCGTTTCTAGGCAGTTTGACTTACACAGGCCCTGGTGTGTCTGAACAATGGCAATCGGCGAATTGAATCCTCAGTGATGTTAGTTGCTTGCTTTTCGTTCGAGCCGCGGTTTGAGGGAAGCATGCAGGCGCGGGCACGGTAGTGCAAAATGCGATAATCCACCCAAACGTCGTTTATTCCCTCAAGCGTCGAAAGTTCTTGCTGTTTCCCCAAAGGGCGAAAAAAATGCACTACAGGGCTTCGCAGGTATATATTGACTCGTTGCTCCAGGCCAAACTGGTGTCCATATGAAAAGGTTGTTGACGAGACCATGGATTCCTTCCCGAAGAGAATTGTCACAAGTGAACACTGCAGTGCGTGGCTCTTGTTTGAGGGTACCTGGAGTCTCCTTCTGACCCTTTAAAAATCGTTAGAAATGAGGTCATTACAATACCAAATAAAAACTGGGGTCCCTACATTCCGTTTTTGGTGGTTTGAAACATCACCTTTGTGGCCCATGCCTTGGTGGGGGTGATGTTTTAAGGGGTACATGGAGAGTTTAGGTGCCCTTTTCACTGTGGGGTGTGGGCAACTGCGATGTTGGGGCCCAAATCCTATCATATGTGCGTGTCTATTTTCAGACCCCGAACACGGTTTAACGGTTTTCCGGAGATTTTCCTTGAAACCAACCCCAAAAAGGGTAGCCTTCGTCTCAAAGAAAGGGCCCCAACATCTTGCTGCCCCCCCCCAAAAAATAATAATACACGCATCCATCCTCCATCCTATGGTTTCCTTTTCTTCGGGAATCCCCAACACCGGTTCACTCCCAACCCGGAAACTCGGTGAGTCATTCCCTATCACACCAGCAAGCCATTGTTGCGACTCTCCGATGTTGTTTGTTTCGCGGCTTGCGCGACCGCCGACCGGTTTGCGAGGTTTTTGAACTCCAGGGCGAGACGGAGAACGGGGCGCCCATGTTCAGGCGAGAATGGAAGGCTTCCATTTGGTGAAAGAAACAACATATTTTCCCCAGTTGGTTTTACCGGGAAGCGATTTTCACTTCTGATTTGTTTGAGGCCCTAGAATGGGGGTTAGGCCGCAAAGAAGGTATCCCTGGAATGAGTGAAAGCATCAGCAAGCACCCTCCACTGCAGGGGGAAAGAGATCTGATGTTGGTTCTGGGCCTCAAAAACGAATTGCCTTGTTGAGGTATATTGAGGTCCCAAGTCTTTTGTTGTTAGACTGAATATGAAACAGAATCAGCAAACATGGATTCTCCGTGTACCACATGTTGTTGTGGTTGCCAAGATTCTTAGACTTGGTCCCCCAGTGCCCTTTCACCCTTGTGTTCGGGGAGGGCTCCCCTACTAAAATCGACAAAACGGAAAACAGTTGGTACCAACTCAGTCTAACCTCTCAAATCTGGAGGACCAAGTAGATGCCCCTTTGTGAGTTCCCTTTAAAAATATCTTTTCCCCGGGTCGGAGCGGAGCCCCACAAAAAGCGAGCGAGCGAGCTGGGAGGTAGGCGCATTTGCCTGACAGGCGGAGCTGCTTTTTTAAGCAAGGGGCAGGTGCCGTGCCCAAAATTGGGGCGACTTGACTGGGACCCGTAAACTCATCTGGGGTGTTACCAGTGACTGAAAGTGAAGCAAGCCATAAAATATACATTCTATAACTGGGCTAACTCTAATCATGTCATTGGATTCCTGTTCCACTGTCAAGCCCAGCTTTCAAGAAGGGTATCCAAACACTTCCGTGAAGCTCCCAGACTTGGTTTCAGTGGTCTGGGACTATTTGCATGCAGTGGGGGGGCCTACCAACTAAAATAGCTGCAAACCGAATCTCCCCGCCAACCATCTCCCTCACCCCAGCCCGTCCCTCTCCCCGACTCTCCCCACCCCACCACCTAAGAATCTAAGCCGAGGCGCGTCTAAAGTGACAAAGGTGGTACTTGCACTCCAAGTGGTTCCCACCCGTTTAGCCCCACTTCCCCCCTCCCCCCCCAGCCTCCTTTGCAACCCTTGCAACATCTTGCAACGATTCCTGCCATTTGTGCGTACTTAGATGGTCCGGGACTTAGCTAAGTGGTTGGTGACCAGGTAGCGAATTCGTCAGTCCTGCTTACTCTGCCAGATCGCTGAACGGGAATTACCTCTTCCATGGCGCCCTTGGCGATGGGTGGGCGATGGGAATTCGACGGGAGATCTTTTGGGAGTTGCTCAAAATGGGATTCGATCCCCCGTTGGCGGAAACCTTTTATCCCTGGGAGGCAGCCCCTTGGACCTTCTGGGCCAAAGATGAAAGGCCAACTTGGGGCTCCTAGGGATTGGCAAAAGAGAGAAGCAATTTCCCATGTCCAGTTTCCCTTGACTGGAGCAGTGGCGGCGGGGTGCCTTCTTCCCCGGAAACCAGTGCGATAGCGCAGAAGTGAAGAGTCCAGGGTTGTCCTCCGAACATGTGCCCCTCACGATGCCAAACTTGTCAAGTAGGGAAAGGCGAGTTGTTACCCCACCAATTAACATGGAAGCACCCTTTGAAAGGAACATAGTCTTCCAGGACCCCGAAATGCCAAGTTTAACGTTGATTGGTTGGGGGGTGCCTCATGGCAACCAAGGGCGGCGCGTTCACATCGGATGGACTCTCAAGCAAAGCATAATTGAAAGACTGAGCATTTGGAGTTAGTTTGGGGTTGGCAGGTGATTGATGCTGATTAAAACATAGTCATCCTAAGTTCTGTTTCGGACTTCGGTGACTTTTTGGGAGGACCCTTTTGCTGGTGGCAACCACGTAGAATTTTGATTGCTGTTTCTGACCAATCCACAGGATCGCATATATCTTGTACAAAAGAGTAGGCCAAAAGGACCCCGGGCGTACTTGGACTTTCAGGGGATCAACCAAGGGCCTGACAATTCAAGGGCATCTCCAGGGGGTATATACCCTCACGTGCCCAAGGCCGACCTTTTGACCTTTTGGTTTTCCCATTTTGGTCAATTTTTAGAACAGGACCCAAAAAGGTTAACCTTTTATTTCCAGGTCCTTTGGGCAAGTGAGTACCACTTAACAACAAACTTTCAATAAGCATCCATACCTGCCACAACCCAAGCCTGAACTTTCCTACAACCCAAGACCCTAGACGGCCTTTTACCCCGCTTTGGGGCCTCAAACAATGAAATCGGCCAAACGGGCCCCCTCTAGGGAATACAACATGACTGGTGGATAAACCACCAATCCCAACTGGTGCGACATGGATTTTTTCCATCCGCCTATGTAACTCAGTTCAAAAAAGCCTTGTAAATGTATTTCAATGGGCTCCCACTCTGGATGCACGAAATCCTGCACCACTTCTAAACCATGGAAAACCACTGTTGGTTGGTCCTTCACCTTTGGAATCGACTCCTTCCAGGGTTTCGTGTACTGCGATGTTTGGATATTTCGCACAGGGCTTGAGGAGTCGGGGGCCTAGGTTCCGTTGCTTGGTGGCTCCCAGCCATCCCCTTAGCAACCCTAAAGTGTTTAGTGCTAGTTTCCGAATTTAATCCACTCAAAGTTAAATTTTTGGCAGTCGGTACCCTTTAAAGGAGCGGAAATCACAGGGTAACCTTGTAAGCGGGGGATGAGAAAACGCGCAGCCAGGCTCATCTCGGAAGACTCTTCCGAGGCCCCAACTGCGGCATCGGGCAGTCCGGGAGGCAGTGGATCATCAGCCCAGCGCTGTGCTCTCAAGGCGCGACGTGCTGATGGGTTTTTGGGTCCCAGCAAACCCAGGATGATTCCCCTGTAACTGCCATGCTGTAACTGCCAGCAAACCCGAAGGATGATTCCCCTGTAACTGCCAGCAAACCCTGAAGGATGATTCCCCTGTAACTGCCAGCAAACCCTGAAGGATGATTCCCCTGTAACTGCCAGCAAACCCTGAAGGATGATTCCCCTGTAACTGCCAGCAAACCCTGAAGGATGATTCCCCTGTAAACTGATTCCCCTGTAACTGCCCGCAAACCCTGAAGGATGATTCCCCTGTAACTGCCAGCAAACCCTGAAGGATGATTCCCCTGTAACTGCCAGCAAACCCTGAAGGATGATTCCCCTGTAACTGCCAGCAAACCCTGAAGGATGATTCCCCTGTAACTGCCAGCAAACCCTGAAGGATGATTCCCCTGTAACTGCCAGCAAACCCTGAAGGATGATTCCCCTGTAACTGCCAGCTGCCTGTAAGCAAACCCTGAAGGATGATTCCCCTGTAACTGCCAGCAAACCCTGAAGGATGATTCCCCTGTAACTGCCAGCAAACCCTGAAGGATGATTCCCCTGTAACTGCCAGCAAACCCTGAAGGATGATTCCCCTGTAACTGCCAGCAAACCCTGAAGGATGATTCCCCTGTAACTGCCAGCAAACCCTGAAGGATGATTCCCCTGTAACTTCCCCTGGAACTGCCAGCAAACCCTGAAGGATGATTTTCCTGTAACTGCCAGCTAACCCTGAAGGATGATTCCCCTGTAACTGCCAGGAAACCCTGAAGGATGATTCCCCTGTAATTGCCAGCAAACCCTGAAGGATGATTCCCATGTAACTGCCAGCAAACCCTGAAGGATGATTCCCCTGCAACTGCCAGCAAACTCTGAAGGATGATTCCCCTGCAACTGCCCGCAAACCCTGAAGGATGATTCCCCTGGAACTGCCAGCAAACCCTGAAGGATGATTCCCCTGTAACTGCCAGCAAACCCTGAAGGATGATTCCCCTGTAACTGCCAGCAAACCCTGAAGGATGATTCCCCTGGAACTGCCAGCAAACCCTGAAAGATGATTTTCCTGTAACTGCCAGCTAACCCTGAAGGATGATTCCCCTGTAACTGCCAGGAAACCCTGAAGGATGATTCCCCTGTAATTGCCAGCAAACCCTGAAGGATGATTCCCATGTAACTGCCAGCAAACCCTGAAGGATGATTCCCCTGCAACTGCCAGCAAACTCTGAAGGATGATTCCCCTGCAACTGCCCGCAAACCCTGAAGGATGATTCCCCTGGAACTGCCAGCAAACCCTGAAGGATGATTCCCCTGTAACTGCCAGCAATCCCTGAAGGATGATTCCCCTGTAACTGCCAGCAAACCCTGAAGGATGATTCCCCTGTAACTGCCAGCAAATCCTGAAGGATGATTCCCCTGTAACTGCCAGCAAACCCTGAAGGATGATTCCCCTGTAACTGCCAGCAAACCCTGAAGGATGATTCCCCTGTAACTGCCAGCAAACCCTGAAGGATGATTCCCCTGTAACTGCCCGCAAACCCTGAAGGATGATTCCCCTGTAACTGCCCGCAAACCCTGAAGGATGATTCCCCTGTAACTGCCCGCAAACCCTGAAGGATGATTCCCCTGTAACTGCCAGCAAACCCTGAAGGATGATGTTTTTTTTTTTTTTCTGTAACCTGGCAACAAACAACGGTTTCAATCATGGATTCCAAGTGGTGCGAAATGGATTTCGCAAACATCCACAGTAAAAAATGGCCAGTGTTGAAGAAGGAACCCAGCTTCAAAGTGGCCAAGGTGGACATAAATACCAACCGAAATGATGTGCACAGGGTCCCTTGTTGAAATTCACACCCACATATGGGGATGGGTCAAAGATTAAGCCACCCGGATTTGGACCGCAGGTTAAATCGTCCACGTCTCCATTTACCAGAGTTCCATTTGGGGTACCTATTTCTGACCATATGAACCCATGGCCATTGGACCAAAAGGCCTGAGGTCAACCATAGTTCAGCCACATAACTGGCGGTGAATTCACCCATAGACTGGTTTATGCCAGGGGCTCATATGTGTTCCGGTCCCCGGGTGGGGTCCACGGCCTGGAACATGGAAGTATACATGCAGCCTTTGATAACTCGCACGTGACATGGACCCATGGAAACATTCGGCGGGCCCCTCTAAAGCAGATTCCCTTTTTTCCCCACATTTGTCCCAACCTGGTGTGGCTCGTTGTTGTTTTTGTTTTTTTGGGGGCCTTTTTGGGATGTGACTTGTTTTTAGGGTACCCTTGTTGGGATGTTGTTGGTTTTTAGGCGCACGGAAAAAACACCCCCATTTCGGGGGGGGGGGGGGGGGGACACCTGTTGTAAAGGCGGCTGGATGAGGAAGCCTCGCGTGTCCTTTGTTTGGTGAAGGGTGGCTCGTCTTTTTTGGAGTTGCCCCATCCCAAACTTACCTCTTAAATACACAACTTTTCAACTTTTTGGGTAACGCTATATGTCTGTAAAAGGTGAACTTCCCCAATCCTTGGAGTTTTAAGGGGTAAGAACATGGACAGGAGGGTAAGGCTACCGCACCTCCCCGAGCGGGGGTATTGGGGGGAGAGGGGTGGTGCTTTTTTGTCTTTTCTTGTTTTTGTTGTGTTCTTGTGGCACGTAAGCAGTTCCCCTCTCAGCCACTTGTTCAGCGCAATCTCACACATCTTGGAGCTCCCGACATGAAGGATGCTGTTGTTTGTCGGGCTTCCAGGGCTGGTTGCATGGGTTTTATGGTTGTGGGTCAAAACCTGTGGTACCATTTTGGGGGTAGGCACCACCTATTTTAGTCTATTTTAGTTGGGATTGGGATGTTCACTGCGGACCGAGCTTTTGACCCATGACCATTTGCGTGAACGGGGTGGGGTTTGAATGCGAGCCCAGATCAAACCCGGGGGGTTCTTTTTGCCTGTTATCGCGCACCAGTTGTCTAGTTTGGAGCAACCCTGACGACCTTTATGTCCATTTGCTTCTGATTTTTCGCCTGGTGGTTTAAAGTTTAAAGCGGATCTATCAACATGTTAGTTTTTTGTACTCACCCATTTCACATTGAAGCCGCTTTGGTCATACGAGCCAATGTCGGAGATTGTGTGGTCAGGGTTGGGCCAGAGCATCTAACAAGGTAGCCACGTTGGCTTCAGCAATCTCATTTTGGCTTTTCGTGGGGACGGGTGATCAAGCCGATTTTGCAAAACCAACCCTATCGCGGCATGGTCACGCCTTCGGAGATTCCTTTGTGAAGCAGCATTGTGGGATATATTGTTGGGGTTGATCATATAGTCTTGTTGGCCCCCAAACTTGATTCCCCATTCTTTTCAACCATCATTCTTTTGAAAAAAACGCCGTTTTCCCTGGGTTTCCGGAGGTTTTCTGGAAAGATTCGGATCCCTGGAAAGAATGGAAATGGAAGGTACCCCTAAAATTCTGTATTTGAGGCCTTTATCCCTTCAAGGGGCTCCTAGGGAAATGATCATGGTAACATGTTTCCTCATCCCAAAGGCCTTTCTGTGGATGGACGAAGTCCTGCACCACCCAAGACACGTGGAAGATTCCCCAACGTACATACCACACAAATGTGTTGGTTTCAACCATGGCTTTATTTTGTGGATTCCGCCACCATCCGAAGTATTTGGTCAACTCTAAGACATATGCTGTAAATGTCTTCCATATTCTAACCTGGATGGTCTCAACCATGGTTTCATTTCGTGATGCGATTTCTGGATTTCGCGTGACCATCCGCAGTATGAGCTTCTTTGCAGTGGCTTTCATCGACATTTTTCTAGGACACCACCCTCCAAGGTCTCCCCTGGTTCATTTCATAATGCGATGCGATGTTTGGAGTTGCGTCATCCACAATATCCTCTCGCATAGCTTTTCTGGCTGGTGCTCAGCAGGGAATGTGGGAATGAACCCGTTTGAAATTCCGTTAAAGGAAACCACGAGTTGGATGGTTTGTAGGGGTCATTCCAACTCATTCCCTAATGTTGACCCCATATTCATCAACCCCAGTTTATGAATAGGGGGGTGTTCACCTCCAAAAGTGTTCACCTCCTAAACCCAGTTGGACACCCCCTATCAATAACTGAGGCACTGCACAATCAAAACCCGGTAGACGAAGGTTAGTAAGGGCCAATCCCTGCGCCTTCTTCATTCTTGAAGCATGGTTCTGGGTTCACCATTTTGATACCGGGTTTTAGTGGGAAGTCCCCACTGAACTGCTAAAATTTACATTGTTTCTCCCCTTCCAACGTCAACCGAGTAACACCCTTCCCTAGGAGCCCCAAGAGGACCCGACATATATGAGTTGGCCTTTGACCCCCCTTGCGACCCCCCGAGTATTAATAACTGGGGTTGAACATGTGGGGTCGTCATTCGCTTTCTGCAGGCTACAACGTGGCTTACTTGACCTCAGAGGACCCAATTCCGCCCTTGTCGGGAGTGTGGTCTATGAGCTGCGGCAGGACAGGCCCAACGACCCTACGACCCCGAAACAATATATGCAATATTTATATGGCCCTGGGTCAACACCAATGGTAGCATTTTGGGGTAGGAGCACCACCCATATTAGTCTATTTTAGTGGGGATTGGGATGTTCACTTTGGCACGGGGTTTTACCCATTGTCATAGATGTGTCAATATGGCCGTGTTTTTTGTTGAGGGGTCTGTAACAAAGCCGTGGCGGACATGCGTTAAACACCCCAATGCATGCACAGACTCTCAGCGATTCCTATGGTGCCTGCAGAGCATGCTTTTGCTGAAGAGTCAACTTGCCGAGAGCTTGCCATGCAGGTCAAAAGTTGGAACAGGGGTTAGACCTCGTTACAGACGTAGCTGCTACCCCAGCCCGGGCCAGCGCCCCCCCTTTTGCCGCAGCTTGGCTTGCATTGAATAGCTGCAGTCAAGCTGGAGCTGGGGAGGCGCGCTTTTGCATGCTGCGCTTTGCTTCGCCTCGTTGCAGACCTCGTTACATAGCCGTTACATACGTCGTTACAGCCCGGGCCAGCATCGCGCGTTACAGACCCCCCCAAAAATCGTAGCCATATATGAGGGTGAAAAGTGGGTCCTGTGCAGTGCTCCCTCTGTTTGCTGAAACTTCCCTGATTATCGGAAGGGATCCCCCAAAAAAGAAAGAAAGACAAGCAAAGAGCATATTGCTAGAGGGAACTCTTAAAAGTTGGGTTCCTTCTGTGAATTTGCAGTGAATCATATGTGTGTTTTCCCAGATGGCTGTTAAAGGGAATCAATCAGGATTGTTTTTTGTCACAAATCCCTATGGGACTTGAACAAACGGTGGACCCCCTTTGGTTGGTCTTTGAAGGGAAGCCAAAATGAAACCAACCACTTTAGGGGAACCTAACCATCTTTTGAGAACCCGCCATATGGCTTTGCGTTCGAGGCTCGATCCCCTTTTCAGACCATTCTGGGGAGGCAAAATCCAAGTTTGGGGCACATACCCATGTTTTCCAACCTGTGGCTTTGAGCATCTGGGTCAATTTCAGTGATGCCTGGATTTGGTCCCGTAACCTGAAAATTAGTTCTATGTTTGGGCAGCGTTTGGCACAGGGTTCGGATCTCGATCATCATGAGCTTTCTTCCCTAGTTCACGGACTTGATCGTCAGTGTTTGGACCATTTTTACTGCTAAACAAATTGGTTACCCTCCCACCAAGTAACATTGAACCTGACAGGGGGTTGGTGCCTTTAAAATGAAAATGGCCAAGTAACGTCGAACGGTTCCATGATAATTGGTGGGAGGGCGCCTTTTTGGCAATTGCCATGGGTAAATTCTTCCATGTTGAAATGTCAAATCTTTCTTCTGGTTCCCCAAGCAATCGTCATCCCATGTTTACCGGACCTTTTGAGATCAACCCCCTAATGAACAGCATCCTTTCTTGTTTCCTAGGGAATCCCGCAACGGTTCAGTCCCACATTCCCCAGCTATCGCACCAATTAGGAAGAAAGGGTTCCCTCAAAACAGCAGACGAGCATGTGCTAGGTCCCCCAGCTAGGTGCCCTACTACAATGGACTACAGAAAAAGTTGGTACCCTTATTCTAACCTCTCCACTGAAGGACCTAGTAAAAATTATCTTCCAGGCCCCTGTTCAGATTCCATGTGGAGCAAAACTGGGCCAACAGGGCTAGAGTGGGTCGGTTGCTACCTGCAAACAGAAAGCCGAAACCCGTGTGTCTTTAAGTAGGTCACACCGGCTCTTTGCGCCTAAGATTCACTCGCTTTTCCGGTCGAGTGGACTGGCCGAACAAAATATTCTAGTGCCTAATATTTATCACTAAAGTGGCAGCCAAACCCAAAAAGTGACTCAAGACCCAAACGGAACTGGGAGTGAGATGAAGGCAACCATCTAGGGGTACCTTTCATTTCCATTCTTTCTAGGGATCCGAATCTTTTTCCAGATTCCCAGGAAAAACGGGGATCGGTTTTTGAAAAAAGAACGATGGTTGAAAAGAATGAGGAATCAAGCCCTTCAAAAATTGATCCAAGATACACACCAAACTCCACGAGTTTCATTGTGCGGGGGTTCCGTGATGTCGTCTTGTGCCATGTTTTGCAAGTGGTGTCGTCGTTTCTCGTTCTTCAACCCCCCCCTCCCATGTCCCTAAAAAGGGAGCCTAAAAGTTGATGGATTATTTTTGAGCCCTCAAAAGCTGTTTGGTTTTCATGGGGGTCCCAAGAATTCAGGGTTCTCCCTTTGTGGGTCCGGGGGTGCGCATAGGGGGTCATGACCGTTAGGGTGGAGCTCAAAATGGCCCATTGATTGTGATTGCTAAACCCTCGGAGCCCCTTGAACCTCATTATTTGACCAACCCCCCCTTCCCAAAAAGACACAATGGCCCCTTGCACCTCAGTATTTGACCCCCCCCCCCCAAAAAAAAGAAGCCCCCTGAACCTCATTCTTTGACACTCCCCCCCCCCCCAAACCCGAAAAGCAAAGGACGACCCCCTCAACAAAAACAAAAACGGGGTGAGCATGTTCCGCGGCGAAATCCGACCTCGATCGTCTTTCCGACGGAGGAGTGGCTGGGAAAATATGGACATGGACTTTGCCATCGTGCCCAAGCGCCGCGCAAGCAGCGGACACGAAACGGGTCCAAGCGATTGAGGTGTCATCATGGGGTTGGTACCGAGTCTCCATGAAAACAAGTGTCACGACGGACGGCAATGACCTTCAATCGTGTTTGCGAATATGTTCAAGAATTTTCACCACTATCGCTACCGGATGGTTTTTTTGTTTAACTGGGGACTCAATAAAATGGAAGACAAGGTACTGAAAGTGGAGATTCTTTCTTTCCAGGGTCATCCACTAAATCTGGCTCTTAGGATCCATAGGAGCCCTGATATGCAGTAGGCCCAAGTCTGGTGTTTTCTCCAACACTATTTCATATTTTACAAACAACAGAACACCAGTGAAGCCGGCGAAGCCGGTGGGTGAAAGTTTCATTAAAGAACTCTAGTTATCTTTTTATATTGTTCTTTCCTTTGATCTTTCTCTTTTTGCTGGTTTCTTTCGTTGCTGTCTTCGAAGAATCCGGCCATCCAGCATTGTTCAGGCTTGTGAATTACAGCCCAAATTGAGGGTTCGAATGACTTTGTTCCGGACCTGTAGCATCGGTTGCGGCTAAGCTAGACTCTCATATTGTTAGTACTCGTACAAATCGGGTCGATCTTATTTCTCAGGACTGAGCACTGGCTTTTCGAGTGAAAGCTGCTTCTAGCAACGCGACACAATTACATCAACCATTTAGCAGACCCACATTGCAACTGGCAACAACTTTGAACCTACATCGAAGCTACATCATCCCGTCCGGCATTAATTTGGAAATTGCGGTTGGAGCCCATTTGTGTCTTGTTTCTTCTCTTGATGGCACATCCCATGGTGGGGTTGGCACTCCCCATTTTCTGGACTGTGAATGAAACAAAATGGCTCTGGTCATGAAGGGCCCCCATTTTCTACACTTTGAAGTTTCTCAATCTGGGCTGCATGATATGGCGAGTTGGAAGACCCTATTTTCTAAAATCCGTCTATCCGCGCAGCTGTTTGGCTTTTTGGTGTGCCTCAAGCAAAAGGCGTCGCGAACAAACATGTCAGCTGTACAGAAACCGAAAGCGAAGGCTTGCGCCAAAATGTAAAACCTGGCGTCTCCATGCACCGCAATCGTGCAAGAAGCAGCCCAGTCCGGAGATTCTACAAAGAGTGCGTAAAATCACAAACTGGAGCAAATACAAGAGTGAAATGTTAGTTTAAATGAGTTGAAAAGAGTCTGCTGCTGTGATTGTGGCACCTGCTTGGCGGGAAGCAGGTTGATTTTTCTTTACTCATGGCTTCGCGCGAGCTGGTCATTTCTAGCGATTGATACCTCAGGCAAGCACCAATGCATCCCTATCTCTGTCAAAATTGCTGGGGGAGGCCAAGTGGTTTTCTGCTGGTTTCCACATAAAACCACCCAACAGTGTGCCGGCAGGATTTTGTTTTGAGAAGCTCTCACCTATCGAGTTGCCCAAAAAAAATGTGTACGCCACGGAAACCGGCGTGGCATTTCATGGTTTTTAGTTCGCGCCGGGTACATAGTCACACGCACGTTTTTGCGCATGTACTCGGAGCTCATGCGTCTATTCTCAGGCAGTTTGACAAGAGTGCATGTTTCTGGGTTTTCAGACATCCCGATAACTAACTCACGCTAGCAGAATCTCAGGTCGACATGTGCAGTTTTGGACCAAGTCAGCACATGCTCTGACGTGACGCACGTGAGCGGGTGTCCTTATTATGGAGCAACTAGCGCGCAGAATGGGAGTGCTTATCATGTCCCAGCATGCGTGCAGTTTTGACATGATGCGCGTGAGCGGGTATGCTTATCAGGTGCCAACAGTCGTGCAGCTCCGACGTGTCAACGAGCGTGCAGCTTGGACGTGATGCGCGTGAGCGGCTGTGCTTATCATGCGCCAACAGCGAGCGTGCAGCTCCGCGCGTCAGGTATGTTTGTCATGTATTGGCATGCGCGCAGCTTTGACGTGATGCGTCATTGGGGGCGCTTATCATGCGCCAGCTTGCGTGTGCGGGTGTGCTTATTATGCGGCAACTAGCCCGCAGCTCTGGCGTGATGTGCGTGACAGGGAGTGCTTGTCATGTCCCAGCATGCGTGCAGCTTTGACGTGATGCGCGTGAGCGGGTGTGCTTATCAGTTGTGCAGCTCTGACGTGATGCACCTGACAGGGTGTGCTTATCATGCGCCAGCGTGCGTGCAGCTCGGACTTGATGGGCGAGAGCGGGTATGCTAGCGTGCGTTAAGCTGTGACGTGATGCGCGTGAGCGAGCAGGTGTGCAGGGGTGGAAGCCACTCGGACACGCGGGTGTGTAAATACCCGGTACCTTTTAGTTTGCCCGCCAAGCGAATGGATTTCCATCTCTAGATGGCTCTTGATGAAACCTGGTCAACTCCATAGACATAGTGACCTTGCAGCTGGGATGTTTAAGCAGGCGGGCTTTGTGGGTTTTTGCACACGCCGACTCGCTCACAATCTCTGTTGGGCCTGGGCGCCTGCGTCTGTGTCACATGCCTGGCACATGGTAAGCACGCGACACTCTCCGTCGTACGCCTGCGTACATGCCTGTCGCATGCCAAGCGCGCCCGCCCGAGCTCTCCGTCGCATGCCTGAGTACATTCCGGCACATGGTTAGCACACCCGCCCACGCTCTCTGTCGCACGCCTGCTTGCACGCCCGGATTGTGTCGACGACCTTTTTTCTCGGCTATGGCTGTTTGTGTGTGTAGTGGCACACGCGCAGGACCACCGTGGCTTGAGCATGTCAGGCCAAGCACTAGTAGCAGCAGTCATGGCGCCCGCAGATCTCCGCAGCCTGCCAAAGCACTTACAAAAGTGAACTTGTGCAGGTTTGCTTGTGTCGCTGAGGCAAGAAGCAAATGCTTGTTCTAAAGCCAGTGAGCTTTCGAGACGCAACTTATGTGCTTTTGTTCTTGATTTCTCTTGTTTCGCCGCAGCGACACACATGTTTTGGTGAATCACACTGGAGCATCGCACACGTTTAGACAGGGCGCATTGTGGTAAGTGCAAAAACCGAAGCGCCGCGCGCGCAGTGACGTCCAATTTTTCCGCGCCGGTTATCGGTCCGGCGGGATAATTACGTTTTGTCAATGTAGAAATTGATGTCCTCATCTTCACGCAACCCTCCGGGTTGGAGGGTGACCTCCCTATCTGTTTTTGAACGATGGAGTCGTTTTCGTTTTACCCCTCACCACACAAAGCACTCTCAATTTAGAAAAGGGGGGGCAACGTTGGTCCAATGTTGTGATGGCCCAGCCACAATACAAGATAATTAATGGGGCACCCCCCAAACTTCTGACCCCTATCTAAATCAACACTACATCCAAATTACTGCATCGAACTACAAAACTACACAACCTATTCAAACACAGCACACTTTGGTCCATATCGTCAATTACTTGCTGGCTGTCGCCCACTTATGCCGATTTTCACACCTGCCGTGCTGCAAACTTGTCTCAGGTACACGCAGAAAGGGTGAGTTGGCAAACTTTGCTTGAGCAAGCTAGGCTTCAGGGTGAGCACAACGCCATTTCTCAGGAGCAAAGCAAACTCCGTGGGGTTTCGCGGCTTTAGCCCTGCGCGCTACTTCTGCGGCCCTAGGCAGGGGCTTTCCACATTCGGCGCGCAAACTCGTGTTCGAATGGACACGCTTAATCGCAAAGGCGCGTTGGGCGCAACGTGGGTTCTTATGATTCTGGAGGCGCTTGCTGGCTCTCCCTTTTAGGCCCTACCACTTCGGCGGGTTGCGTAAAACCAGCCATGTGAGCAGGGGCCATGGATGCTTAGGGCCCTAAGGATGGTTGATGGTAGTTGCGAGGTTAGGCTCCTGCTGCCCTTGAACCACCCCGTTTGGGGATTCCATCACCGGGTGATCCATCTCTGAACTCAGCTGTTGCAAATGGTCATGCATGTGTGGGCCCTTGTTCGAAAAAAGCAGAGAAACAGATAAGTTAGGGGAAGCATGTTATAGAATTATGGTCGTATATGGCTGTGGTGCCGGTGCCAAAATGGCCACCTTGGTAAGTGGAACCAAAGACTAAGACCCGCGTAACCCTAGCTCCTTAGTTTTGAGCCACATTCACATGTGTGGGCCCTTGTTCGTACAAAAAAAAGAAAACAGATAAGTTGGGAAGAAACATGTTATAGAATTCTGGTCGTACATGTGTGTGGGCCCTTCTTCCAAACGTTTGCAGACTTCATGTCCTCGTCGGATCGTTCCGTCGCTTAGGATCGGCCGGCTGCGGACCCCGAAAGGATTCTGCCTTGAGAGCTGGCAGGGCGAGGCGCTTCGACAAAAGCGATGCCGAGGGTGGATAACCCCTGGACTGGACACATGAACCACTGTCAAAACCCTGTTTTAAAATGGTCGTAATCCCAGAACCATGCTTCAAGAACTAAGTCCGCAGCTATTTATGGCTGGGATTGTACCTTACTAACCTTCATCTACCCGGGTTTCGATTGTGGCTCAAATGGGGGCGCAGGTTTTAGTCCTTGGTTCCGTTTCCAGGGTTGCATTTTGGGTACTTATTTTTGACCCGCAGGCAAATGACCAAGAACAACCTTTCCCAGCTAAAAGTTTCTGTTTTTTTGGGGGTTTCCCCATGTATCTGGACAAATGGGAGTTGATCAACATGGGTGTGGCTCAAAAAAAATGACAGGAGGGGCAAACCGCAGGTTTTGGTCCATGTTTCCATTTACCAGGGTATTATTTTGAGTACCGGTTTTTGGGAACACGACTGGACAAATGAACCACAATCAAAACCCGGGTAGATGATCCGGTTAGTATTGGGCAGTCCCAGCCAGAAATAGTTGCGGCCGCCTTCTTAATTCTTGAAGCATGGTTCTGGGTAGACCATTTCAACACCGGGTTTTGATTGTCACTCAAATGGGGGTTGATCAATATTCCCTTCCGCCCCCTTAATGGGTATGGGTCAAAATTAAACCACCGGGATATGGACCGCAGGTTTTAGTCCTTGGCTCCATTTTCCAGGGTTCCACTTTGGGTACCTATTTTTGACCCGCAGTCAAATGACCAAGGGCAACCTTTCCCAGCTTCTTTTTGTGGTTTCCTTTCCCAGGTGGCCAGGTGGGAAGTATCTACTTCTTGTGGTTTCCCCAATGGCCTATTTCATGTATCCCGGAGCTTTTGATCAACCCCCTAATGTTGACCCCGATTGCTGGCTGATGAATCTCACTTTCTGAGCTCGTTTCGGACTTGATCGTCACTGTTTGGGTTTAAGCCATTCTTGTGAATAAAAAAACGTTAGCTAGGTACCTAGACTCTCCATGACCCTTAAAAAATGAGGTCATTGCCTAAAATTAAGGGGTCATGACCCCATTTTCTAGGGGTCTAGGTACTTGTTTGACCAATCCACTCGGGAAGTGAGTAATCGGCGGTGTCCCCTTTTAATAAGAGTTCGCTCCTGGAGGGAACACCCCCTGCGAATAGGACGAGTTTACTAAGCCGGGGTCAACATGAACAGGGTCATGAATTGGGTTTGCTTCGGCGCTGGTCCTACTTGAGCTTCGTACCGAAACACATGGTCTGTGCAAGGCAGTGAAAGAACGGGGCAAGTGCAACAAAAAAGCTAGCTGGACACGGCGGCATTTGTGCGCTGCGGGAAGTTCCGCGAATCCATGCTTCTTTGCCAGGCAGACCGTGAAGTTGTCAATTCGTTACTCAACTGGCATGCTTGTTGCCAAACGGCCGTTTGCCAAGTCAAGCCTGGGCAAGCCTTGCAATGACGATCGTGTAATTTGGCTTCTCATTACTTTCTATCTGCCTTTTAAACTGGAGTCATGACCCGAATCTTTTTCTTGGGTAATGACCAACCATTTTTCAAGGGTCAGAAGAAGAGTCTGGGTACTTGGAGTCTCCTTCTGACCCCTTTAAAATGGTTGGTCGTTCCCCAAAATAATGCAATCATGACCAACCATTTTTAAAGGGTCACGGAGACTCCAGGTACTATGTTGCCTATGAGTGGACTCTTGGTTCATGCGTGGCATGTGCCGCGCACCTTTGAAGGGGCCACTTGGCATGGGCTTCAGAAACTCCAAGCAACGGCTCGTCACAAAAAAGTTCAGCTCGCGCCTTGCAACAGGAAACCCGGCCATCCCGGCCGATGGCATGCTGTACAAAACACGTACAGCACAAGGTTTATTTTCCGACTTTTCATTTAGCCCCGGTAAATGTTAAAGGGATTTTTTAGCACTACTGGACATTTAAAAAAGAAGAAGACATATATTCCAGGGGACTTAAGCAAATGGATGTTTCATGACCCGTTTCAAACGGAAATTCCAAGGTCAGTTTGAGCATTTGCTCGACACACCAAATGTCCCACAAAACCAGCGGGACACCCTTATTTTTCCAGCCGCAGATTTTGACAGCTCATTACATCTCGTTGTCCAGACAATCCCCCTGCGAGGCTGCCTTCGAGCCTACTTAGATGGTCTGGGACTTTGCCATGGCTAGTGACCATGTAACCCACGAATTGCCATGGTTGTGATAACATTACCCAGATCAGCAAACCCCAGTTTATGAATAGGGGGGGGGTCCTGGGTCTGGTGGGGAATCCTCACTTTTCAGAGGGGAACACTGATCATTAGGACGGTTTATTAATTCGGAGTCAACATGTTCTCGCTGGTGCTCAGCAGGGAATGTGGGAATGAACCCAGGCTTTGCTTCCCTTGAAGGAAACCACCAGTTGGATGGTTTAACTCTGGGTCATTCCATGTCTCCTTCCTTGCATCTCTCGCACCGATGGCAAGTTATTCAGGGCATCTTGGCGCAGTGAACGGGGCCATCCAGGTTTTCACTTTTTGACCCCAAGACAGAATGAAACCGAGAAATCCCCCTTTTGGGGGCAATGAAAATCATCCCGGGTCCAGAAATAAACCCAGTTCCCCTTTTGGGGGCCATGAAAATCTGCGGGTTTGAGTCTACTCATTCAGCAAGTGGAAAAATCTGGCTGGCCATCTCTAGCGCGAAGTCGGAAGGCATTGCTGCAACCCTGTGGAAGTGATGGTGCTCAGTTGCGCCTTGGCGAAGACCGGGTCCCAAACACCTCCGGGGTGTCTCATGGGGTCGGGTCTTCCATGGAAAGCCGAAGCCGATCGGAGCCTCTGGATAGCCCAAAACCGCACCAGTCGCGGCCTTTGGGGGTGTTTGAGGCCCTTGGGGCTCGCTCCTAAAGCTTTTGGCTGCTTGCTTGTTGTTTGGTTCGGACAAAAAGTGTCGCGTGGTTGCTGTATTTTCTGGGTGGTTCCCAGCCATCCGGTTCCTGAGCTTTTGAGCCTTGTGCTTAGTGGTAGTTTCGATTTAACCCACTCAAAGTTAAGCTTTTAGCGGAGGATCTGAGGGCAGCCCAGTTTTGTGTTGGTTTGTTTGCGAGGTGGATCTTGAACAGCACCAGTGGGCATTTGGTCGACATCAACGGCAACTGCCTGCAGGCGCATCCGACCGCACGTTGCAAGATGGAAAACTGGCAAGTTTTTCCGGCGTCTCCTGCGAAGCTAATACATATACCTAGATTCTCCACGACCCTTCCTTAAAGAATTGGGTCATTGCCCAAAAGACAGGGGTCGAGTGGGCCTTTTTCTAATGGTCAAAAAGGAGACTCTAGTTCTGTTTTGGGCAGACATTGGCAGCGCTATGAAACAGAGTAAAGCCAAAGCCAAACGAGCTACCGGAAGTACATAGACAACAATTCGGAACCACACAGAGGAGCCGACTTAAGACGGTGGGTCAAAATTAAACCACCAGGAATTGGACCGCAGGTTTTGGTCCATGTCACTTACCAGGGTTAGATTTTGGGTACCTATTTTTATACCCACAGCCATACGTCAGGAAACTCACATTCACCAACCCGCTCACTTCCTGAGTTCCGGAACTTTAGTCACTTTTTGGTTTTGGACCATTTCAGTGGTACACAGAGAGTTTTTCGACTTTTGAATGGCCATCCAGTCGATCGGAAGTGAGCCCAGGGCAAAGAAAAGTAGGGTTTGGTTGCTCATGTCATGTAGACATTCGCGCCCTAAGCCTTGGGTGTTTGGAGTTGTTTTTTTTTGGGTGGGATCGCAATAGGATCGGATAGGATCGGATAGGATCAGATGCCTTCTCGATTCGCTTCGGCATGCGTTTGTCTTTCATGTGTGTTTCAGAACTGGAGCAATAACCCTGGTGAGACAGCCCAAAGCCATGGTGAGATCAGTCTCCGTTCTTTTTGGGTTATCTCACCAGGCTTACTAACCACTTACCTGACGTACCGATTCGATCTTCCCTTTAAGTAGTTTCTCCGATTTCGACCTTAAACCTCTTTCGCATCTGGGAGGCAGTGTCTCTCCCCGCGGTGGGCCAAATGATTGGCATCCCGGTGGACGTGGACGAGTGTGTGGGTACAGAGACGCAGCAGTGGGAGCGGCGTGGTACGAATTCAGACAGTGGCTGATTGGAACCAGGGCTCAGGGGTCGTCTCAGAATTTAGTTTTTATTGGTGTGTCTTTCTTGAGGGAACCCTTTTCGAGGTGGTTCAAAGGCACCAGGTATCAAAAAGGAAACATACCATTTTGGTAAAATTTCTCATTTTGAGGTTTACCAATACTGTGGCTAGACGAAACCCTGCACACCTAGAAACCCTGGAATGATTTTTCCCCTGTATATAGCAATAAATCGAGCCAAGGTACTTCATGGGCCATTGTAAAATACCTGCCGAAGTTGAAACACTTGCGACCAACCCAGTGGTTTCATATCCGCCGGTCGCGGGCTTTGGCGGGCGTCCATTTCATCTCAGACGGGATCCGGAGCACTTGGGGAACATTCGCTCTCCAATTCCTTTGATTGGGGAACATCCTCTCGAAATCCAACTTTTGACTGAGAACCAGCTTGAATTGTTGGACGTAGATGTCCACAAACCGCAACCAGCACATGAGCATCGATGTCCCATCCGTTTGATGGTTTTCGACATCACCTTCTATCATGGGCCCTCAAGCGAGCTTTCTGGACTCCCTAAGAGCGGGTGGGCGAGGGTGGATTTTGCAAGGCTCTCTCCTGGGACCCCTAGCCAATCGTAACGCTAAGGAACCCTCAGCCCAATGCCTAAGGAACCAGAAGGAAATTCTAGGGCTCTCTCAACTTCGCATCTCCCCCAGATATCGCCCGGAGCTTTCCTTGAGGCAGGGAATTAAGGGCAGAGCTCGGGATGGCCGGGCAGAGGGTTCCTAAAGAGCAAATCCATGTGCCCGAAAACAGGGGACCCCTTTTTGGATGATCTGAAAAGGAAATCAAAAGAACGCCGCCCACCTGGAGGGGCCCCAATTTCGAGAAACAACCAAATGTTGATCGAAACACTTTGATTGTTGTTTGGCTTCGCGCAATTTCAAGCATCTGGAGTCTCCATGACCCTTAAAAATGGTTGGTCATTACCCAAAATAATGAGGTCATTGACCCATTTTTAAAGGGTCATGGAGAGTCTAGGCAGACGCTTATGGAGAGTCCGACCTGCTTTTGTTGGCACCACTTTTTGAGCCTCACGCCAGCAACCGAGGCAACTCCCAATTTTGCCTTGTTCTGTACCGTGACTGTTCGACTTGGTTATGCCACCTTGTTCAGAGCCTGGAACAAACCTTCGACAGGAATGGATCTGTTTGTTGGGGACCCCATTTGGAGGGTCCCGGACCCCATTTGGAGTGGTGTTAAGGCTGTTAAGGAACACCAAAAGCTAAACAGCCATCTGAGAGGGTTCCCCTATACTCAGTTGTTCAAAGCGAATCGACCTTTTGACCTTTTGGTCTTCCCAAATGTTGGCCACCATATTTAGTCATGGCCACAAAAGGTGATCACCTTTTAGTTCCAAATCCTAAGGGGCAACTGAGTATAAGCCAAGCCATGGCCACTTTGTTCATCAGCTGACTATCCTGGAGCTGGCGCCGCAAGGGAACCGGGATTGGTTGAAACCGACCGGGGGAGTTGTTTCCCGTCTTTTGGCCATTGGCACTCGACATGCAGAGCAACGGCTTGGGAACTCGTTATTTTAAGCGCCCTCCTTTTGCTTGGGCCATCTTATGCCCATAGGTCTCCTGCCTTTTAGTTGGTTAGAAATTGGTTTGGTTTGGGTTTTTTCTTCCATATTAAACCCCATCTATTTTACTTCAAAAGGACACCCGTTTGTTCGGCCATCGGAAGAAAATACCCGCTCGATGAACTCGAGGTATGACGAGCTCACCCAGCAGGTGCCGGAGGGTCGAAAAATCGTATCGTCACGGCCGAAATGTGGCGGTTTCTTAGTGGCTCCCAGCCATCCAGCTTTTTAGCCTTTTAGTGTTTAGCGGTAGTTTCCGAATTTAACCCATGAACAGTTATTGTCACTTTTCGCGGGGGATCAGTTCGGGCAGCCCAGTTTTGTGTTTTTGTTTCTCTTCTTCGGGCAGCAGACACCTCGGTTTCCTTTCTCACTCCCCGAGTTCCTGGACTTTGAACTTTTTGGGTTTGGACCAGTTGAGTGGTGCAGCAGTTTGCCGACTTTTCCTGGCTCATCTACTCAGGAAGTGAGCTTTGAGTTTCCAAACAAGTGCAAGCGAAAGACTCAGACCTGCGCTGCCCGCGGCTTTCTGCTTCCTTTCTGCTTCTCTCTTGGGCAAAAGGCGAAGCAAACACCGCCAAAAAGACTGGGTTTGGCCAAAAGCGGCCGCCTCTGTCTTTTTTCTTTCTTCTTCTCCTAGGTGGGTCCTTTTAAGGCCGAGTGTTCCTTCCAGTCCTGAGAAACGGCTGCTCAAAAACCTGGATCGACGCCTGGACGCCGCTTGAGCCCGAGGGACCGGCAGATGGATTCCGAAATCCTTGGGGGGGTTGAGCTGCTCCGTAGGTTTCTACCTGGAACATTTTGGAATGTTTTGATACCTTCTACCTGTAAATACCAACAAACATTGGTTTCAACCATGGTTTCAAAGTGAAAAAAACAACAACACAAACTTTGAATGGTTTGATTCCTTAGAACACTTTGGAATGATTTGATTCCCCTGTTACCAACAAACATTGGTTTCAACCATGGTTTCATTTCGTGGCGCGATTTCTGGATTTCACGTGACCATCCACAGTATGGGTCTGTGTCAAAAGTTCGGTCGGCAAGTTGTGGGTTTAAAGGGAAGCCAACAGGAAACCCTTGGCCCAACTTGGGTCCCTTTTGGGAACTCCAAATTTGTTTCATATCGAGTCTCCGCCAAAAGGGTAGACGATGTGTCCACCAACCATGCTTGACTCAGTTGCACAAAGCGAATCGACCTGATCTGACCTTTCGGTTTCTCCTTTTTGGTCCAGTTTTAGTCACCCCAAAAGGTGATCACTTTTTATGTCTGGGTCCCTAAGGGGCAAGTGAGTTGAGGGGTCCATTGAAACTTGCTCGCAGTGTTTGGTGTGTCCCCCAGACTGGGGCCAAAAGCGGGGGGCGAGGAGTGCTTATCAGCCTCAGGACCAAGCATTGGGGGAACCCGGGCGCCAGAATGCTCCGAAAAAAAAAAGGGGGAAAAAAAACCATGGGCCAGGCAAATCGACATTGGCCCTTGTGGTTTTCTTGCCCGGAGCTCTTTCGCCGAATGCGGGCACCCTCGTGCCTGGAGTCCGGAGACCTGCGGAACCTGGATCCAGGACAATCCTTCAATGCGTTTGGGGCCTGTGGGTTCCGCCCAAACCGCGATAGCAGACATTGGGATATATGTTGCTGTGTATATAGTGGCCATACATGTAGTATATTATATATATATAGTTGCTATATGTATATATACATATTATACGTAGTTGCTGTATATCCCCTTGATTTTTGGGGGTAGTGGTTTGGGAGTTGTGTCAGATAGTTGGTAACCAACCACAGATGATATGTGTGTTAGTTGAGCTGCAATTCCATGGAGCAGTTCAAACCCTCAACGCGCTTACCCAAGATCAGGCGAGGCTGCGGCTCAAACATGAAATTCGCGAAGTCGGGGGACGAGGCTCACCAAGGCCCAAACCTGACCTCGTGGTTTCCCGTTTCTTTGGTGCATTTTGCTTGGATGTTAGGACTTTAACTTTTTGCCAACGAATGGGTTTTCCATTAAACCACGAAAAGTGAGTCACTTTTAGCAGGGGAGCAGAAAGCAACCGAGTCGTCGTTGTCAGAAAGGCGATCACCTTTTACTTTGGGTAGGTCCCCTTTCTGCGTGCTATCAGGTTGAATTGGTATTGCACGATCCGCAATTGAGTATACTTGACGTGCCAAGTACCCTTTCTCCCACTAACACGACACCCAGGGGGGTCCCTCTAAGAGGAAACTACTGGGTGTGGCTCAAAATTAAACAGGAGGGGCAAACCGCAGGTTTTGGTCCATGTTTCCACTTACCAGGGCAAGCCATTTTGGAATTCCGGTTTTTTGAGCCACAGCCTACTATTCATGGTAGGGTTTTGTCGGGAAACCAGAAAGCTGACACGGTTGCAGACAGTTGGTGCGCTTTGCAAAGCATTCCTTGGAGCCATCACACTCTGAATGGCAGGGACACCCCTCCCAAGGTTGTTATGTTAGTAGGATGGGTAATCTGCACTTCCATGGCGCCTCAAGGAAACCAGAGGGAAAGCATTCCTTTGAAGATAAAGCCAGGGGTGTTTAGTTGGATGTTGGGGTGCTGGTTTGTCCGGTGTTTTTCACACACATGGTGTTTCAGGTTGCCCTTTGGTGGTTGGGGGTTTGAACCGCAGAGTAAATTGGAACCGCCCCAGAACAGCTCCAAGTCACCCATTGGAGGTAAGCCAAATGTGTGGTTTAGATGTTAGGGGCGGTTGTCCATGTTTTCCTCAACAAGCCCAGTTCAAATCTGGGAAGCCCCATTTTTTCGACCCTCCGCACCACCTGGGATAAATAGCGGCTATAATACATACATAATAAATAAATAAACAACATATAAATATAAATATATATATATATACAGTGGCCGCATACTGCGGCCCAATTTTTGTTCGACCCACGGGCGCCTTAAAATCCGCAGCCGCGCGAGGTGATGGTTGAGATGAAGCTGGGCTTGCAGAGCTTCTGCTTGGACGCTGCGCAGCCAGACACGGTCGGCGGCAAAGCCTGGGCCTTGGAGCTCGCGAGAGATCCAGCGAGGGCCCCATTTTTAACCCCGTCTTCTTTTGGGGGGTTGGGGCTTTGGCTTCCCCTACTGAAATAGACTACAGAAAAAATGGGGTCATCCCCCCGCCCCTTTCTTTTGGGTAATGACCAACCAGTTAAAAAGGTTGAGATTCGGAGACTCCAGGTAGGCACCTTTTTGGGAAGACACTTTTTGAGGTAAACAAACAGTTTGGTTACTTTTTCTGACCAATCCACTCGAGAAATGCGGAGATCGTGTCTTTTCCTTCATGTTCTGGAATTCCTAAGGGGGCCTGGCGGCCAAATGAGTTGAGGTTCCCCAACACCCCAGCGCCTTTGGGGTCTATCTTTTTGAGGATGCTCTTTTTGGAGTCAAAAGGGAAACCAAAATGAAAACCAACCATTTTTGGGGATGCCCCAAAGGAGACACACCCACACTGCGGGCAGACAAAATCCATTTCGCACCACCTTGAAACCATGGGAAACCGTTGTTTGTTGGGTGTCACAGGCGAATCATCAGGCCCAGGGTTTCTTAGGTGGTGCAGGATTTCGTCCATCCACAGTATCTTTTTCGATGCTGCGCCATACCCCCGCCCAGGATTCAAATGGCAATGGTACCATTTTGGGATAGGTGCACCCACCCATTTTGGTCTATTTTAGTTGGGATTGGGATGTTCACTGGAAGTACGGGGTTTTGACCCATGGCCAAATAAAGGGGCAAGTCCTTTGCAGATGTTGCGGCGGCATCTTGGCCGATGGCCTTCCAATGAATACTCAGTTGTTCAGTGGCACCAATTATTTTTCCTCGTTTTTTTGTGGCCCCACTAAACATGGACACTTCCCCTCTTTTTTTCCCAGGGTCACTGAACAACTGAGAACATCAACTTCGCGTTGCTTTGGTTCAAGAACCCCGGGCTCCTCAGGGCTCAAAATGGGGTCCCCTAAACTCATTGCTTTCCTAATGAACCCCTTTTTCATACCAACCAAAAGGGGTCTATGCACCAATTTCAGAACTCCCCATATGGGTGTCTTTAAACATAGGGGAATTTGGGCGAACCCCCCTGCTTTTTTCCGAGAAAAACTGAAAAACTGGGCACCCTCCAAAAACATCGCGAGCCACCCATATGGCCATGGGTCAAAACTCCGTACCCTCAACGAACATCCCAATCCCCACTAAAATAGACTAAAACGGGTGGTGCACCTATCTCAGAATGGTAGCATTGGTTTGGAACCATGGCCATATATCTTTGCAACGGCCTTGTTACCAAGGTCCAGGTCTTCGGGTGTCACGTGGGCAACCAGAACCAGGCACCGTTGAGTCGTCGTTTTAAGTGATCCCGGATTGGTGTTCTTCCGTCCTAGTAGGGTGAGGGTGGGGGCTCCTATGGACATCCGGAATGTTCAAGCAGATGACAACCCCCTGTTGATGTACGAAATCCTGCACCACCTAAGAAACCCTGGCATGCTGATTTGCCTGTGACAACCAACAAACAACGGTTCAGCCATGGTTTCAAATGCTGTAGAATTTCGCAACCACCCACAGTATGGCTATGCATGTCAATGCTTGGAACACATGGATCGCCGAAAAAAATTGAGGTCCGCGCCCGGGAAACGGGATATGTCTCAAGGGGAGCCGTTGAATGGATTTTGTTTTCCCTTCGGTATTCTCTTAACACCACAAACGAGGGGTAGCCTCAAGAAAGACACAGCCATGTGATTTGAGTGTACCAACATGCGAGACGTTCGACCAACTTCAGGGATTTTCGGTTGACCCGGAACTGGACCGGTTGCAGGCTGTGGCTGCAAACTGCTGGACCGACAGTTGCTTCTTGAAGCATTTGCTATGTGTGTCTTTTTGAGGGACCCGTAGTTTTCCGGTTTCAACAAATCGCTCAGAAATCTGAGCTAGCCCACTCATTGGTTTGGATTGGTGTTGTGGGGATTTGACCCCGTGGCTTTTGTTGGCTTTTGTAGAGGGCCAATGGAAAACTACAAACCACCAATCCAAACCACCAATTAGAGTCTTAGAGGGAGGCTGAGTTTTGGTTCAGAAAACCCTGTTTGGGTTGCGTTTAAAAGCGAACCCACCCAGAAGTCACCCGAAACATGGGGCTTTGA